TAGTTTACTTATTTAACACTTGGTATAATTGGACATATTTCCCAAAAAACTGGTTTTCAAAATTTTCTTCGCAGGTTACGCCCCCTAGCGGTTAATCCAGAATCTTGAAAGTTATTTCCAGCGATTTCTCTTGGCCACTTTTACTAAGGAATTTTTTTTCCTAAAGTTATAACATGAATAGTTTCTGATATATAGCCGAGAGATCGGCTTATTGGACCACCCGGTATATTGCTCTATTTTTTACATTACAAAAAAATAACCATAAAAAATTCATAGATACGCATACGGTGACTCACAGCTTAAATAATGTAGTAGCTACTTAATGGAAACTAGCTTCAAATGAATGAAACTACGGAAATAAAATTACTATGTCTTCTAAAATAGCATAAGCTATTTTTTGGGATTGAAATATACCATGCTTAAATAACAATAAATATTTAATTTTTACAAAAGATTTGCTTCTTTTTATATGCTTGTTAAAAAATATCTTTACTAGTGCACAAAAATCACGTGGAGCAGTTTATATTCCAATATTACAGTTTTTGCATGAGCTCTTTCATTTCTGCAGCACGAGTTTAATTTTTGGATTTTTATATAGTTCAAAGGTTTGCTTTATGTGTATATTTAAGAGAGTCCAGCAATATTAATAAAGCATTTATTTGGCTTGAATTTTTGAATGTACGATTATGTTACATTAGAATAGCAATTAACGTAATTTCATATTTTGAAACTCTTCAATCCTGCAAGATATTGGATTGCTACGAGTAAAGACGTAAATAGTCTTAGATTTCTTGGTCTTGGAACGAGAATAAATATGCTAGATGATAAAGAATAGCTACTCTAGGATTCCAAATCGTCTTCGGAATGGATTTAGCCACTACGGTGTCAAGATGTGTCTTACAGATAACTCTTTTCCATATACCGTAAGATAATAGTTAAGAAAAGTAAATAGAGAACTACTATTTACTACTAATGTAGATATGGTGAAGAAAGGACCATTACGAATTAAAAGATAGGAAAATGTTGAGAAAAATCTTAGGACCAATAAAAAAAATTAGGAATTTCACCAAAGGCACAATCATAAGTTGGCACATCAACACTTGGGAGAAGTTGTTACCAACATGAGAAAATACATGAGAAAATGGAGAATGATGTTTTATGGTCACCTAGAACCTATTAATCGTCAAAGACTTATCATCGCATTCAGTTTTCAATCTCAAGATCATGATCTTACTTAAAATAACAAGACAGGTTAAAAAATATTTTCAACAATCGGAAATCAAAGTCTCAAAAATAAGGTGAAATACGTGTTTTTCCTTCTTCTGCTTCATGTTCCATTTCTCACATAATTTTGTCTATTGATTAATATATTCGTAGTTTAGCTCTTCCTATATTTTGCCTTAAACTCTGCGTTTAATGATGTTTTTAACTTCTTTATTTTACAATGATATTCCACAAACTCGCCTCCGCCACATTTTCAAATTTTTATTGCCTCACATTATTTCCCAGTATTATCTATTTATGTTCCTTTTCTCCCATACATATATTTGGTTTTTATTTGATTTAGTATCAGATCATAATATATTCTGTTTGGCATCATAGTCTGCTTTACTTTTATCTATTTTATTTCTAATTCTTTATATTGTTGTATTATTGATCTGGTTTAGTGCTGTCTTGCATTATCCATCAAACCAGTCTCTTTTTTGTTAATTTCTGCTTTCCTAATGTTTGAAAGACTACCATAGATATTTAAATATGCGACCATTCTTCTTCTAGATTTTCGGCACTACTGCTCATCAAAAGTCGTGTTTCCTGTTTACGGAAAACTGTTTTCTTATAAGCTCTAGCTTGTTATGTGATGAAAAATTAAATAAAGAAAATTAGGACTGATCTACCTCGTAAAATAGATCTAGAGAGCTTAAGCGGCGTAACCCCGTACGGGGTCTTTAGCCACAATATATAATATATATATATATATATATATATATATATATATATATATATATATATATATATATATATATATATATATATATATTATATATTGTGGCTAAACACCCCGTATGGGGTTACGCCGCTTAAGCTCTCTAGATCTATTTTACGAAGTAGATCAGTCCTAATTTTCTTTATTTAATTTTTCTTGTTATTTTTCTCCACTGTTTCCTATCTCTGGTTTTTTTCTCTCCATTGTCGTACGCCTGCCCTGTTGAGATCGTTTGTTACTTCTTGTAGCCATGTAGATCTTGGTCTTCCACGTCTTAGTTTACCAGCTGGTGTCCATTCCAATATTGAGAATATTGTCGTAGATGGTCCTGATCTCCATATATGTCCTAGCCATTTTGCCCTTTTGCTGTTTTATTTTACAAACTATATCCTCTTTAATTTCGTTTAGTGGTTCATGATTCGTTCTTTGTTTATATTGGTTTTCATTAATTTTTATTGGTCCTAATATTGCTCTTAGTATTTTCCTTTCTAGTATTCTAAGGTCTTCCTCTTGTTTTTTTGTCATGCTAAGGGTTTCGGCAGCATACATCATAGTCGGTCGAATTATTGTTTTATATATTTTCATTCTCGATTTTTTGCTCAGTAATTTATTTTTTAGAAGCTTTTTATTTGCATAGTATGTCTTATTTGCTGTAATTATCCTTTCTTTAATTTCTGTTTCCCTTTCTCCATTGTTTGCTAATAATATTCCCAAATACTTAAACTTTTCTACTTCTTCAAATATATATTCTCCCAGTTTAACGTTCTTGTTTTCATATTTTTTGTCAAATCCAATTATTTTTGTTTTTTCTTGATTTATTACTAATCCCATTACTTTCCTTTCTGCTGCCTTTCTGCTGCCATTCTTTTAACATACTTTCCATTTTTTTTCTGTTCTTTGTCATTATCACAGTATCGTCGGCATATGCTATTATTTGTCCCTCTCTCGTTCTAAGTGTACCTTTGTTGATTTTTCTGACTATATATTCCAGGGCAAGATTAAACAGAGTTGCAGATAACGAATCTCCTTGACGTACACCTTTATTTATAATAAATTCTTCTGTGTCTCCTTCTTGTGTTTTTACAGTTACTACGGTTTTGCTCATTGTCATTTTTATTAATCGTCTTAATTTGTTGTGTATTCTCATTTCTCTCATAGCTGTAAGTAATTTCGCTCTGTTTATTGAATTAAATGCTTGTTGGAAGTCTATAAAAAGCAGTTCAATTTCTATTTTATATCCATAAGCTTTCTCCATAATTTGCTTTACCGTATGTATGGCATCTGTTGTTGACTTTCCCCTAATAAATCCGCATTGATACTGTCCCATGATATTTGTTGTCGCTTTGGCCAGTCTTCGTTGTATTAAGGTTGACATGATTTTATACGCTGTGTTTAATAATGTCCGTCCTCTATAATTATTACACATTTGTTGGTCTCCTTTTTTATGGATTGTAATAATTTGTCCTTTGTGCCATTCTTCTGGCATCTTTTCTTCGTCCCATATGACTTTTATTAATTGGTATATTTTTTCTCTGAGTTCATGTCCACCATATTTTATTAGTTCCATGTTTATACCGTCTATACCTGGTGCTTTACCGTTGCGACCATTGTTTATAATTTCCTCAACTTCATCTTTCGTTGGTTTTCTAGCTCGGTTTCTATCATCGTGGTCTCTTCTTCCACATTTTCATTTAAGTCTTCGTCCTCTTGTACTGTTAATAATTCTTTAAAATAATCAGTCCAGATTTCTTTAAACTCTTTGTCATTTTCTGATACTTTTCCATTTCTATATTTTATCTTTCCTTTGAAGGTTTTGTTCTGCTCGCTAATTTTCTTATGAAATGCTTTTGTGATTCTATTTGTGTTTTCTTTTTCTATTTCATTTATCTTATCATTTAACCTAATTTCATTTATCTTGTTATGTGATAGCTGAGCTTTAAGCATCCTTTGACACCGAAAACAACTCCTCAAATATCCCACCAGCTCAGCCAATCAAGAATTTTTTAATCGAAAAATTTATATCAACGAATGAAAGCCTGAAATTAACAGTAAAAACGTACGATAAGGACAAGAATTAAAATCGCAAAGAAAGCTGGACAGAAAGGATGACAGGATGTTGTGAAGAATTGGAAACACTACAAAGTAGATAACTTAGGCCGGTTCTAGGACGGAAGTGGTCAAGGTCAAACGCTGAGTGCTGCGGGGGTTATCTTTGCTGCTTCGGTTCGGGGAGAATGTGATAACATAAGACCTATTTAGTGGTAGTAAATTAAGAGAAATGCAAAATGTGAGGAAATAATAAGGGGGACGGTTGATGTCTCAGTAAACAGGAAGAATGCATGAATGGTATAAACAAAAGATGTGATAAAACTGAATGTGTGGAAGTGATAAGGTGGTAATTGGGGACATAATTATTGAGTTTAGTTAGCATTGGAAAATGTACTAATTAGATCCAAGATAACCAACAGACAACCTACAAACTCAATAATGTTGCCCCAAATTACCACCTTATCGCTTCCACACATTTACTTTATCACATCCTTTGTTTACACCATTAATGCATTCTTCCTGTTTACTGCAAACTCCAACTGGTCCCCTTATCATCTCCTCACATTCTTCCATTTCTCTTAATTGACTACCACTAATTAGGTCTTCTCTTATCACTTCCACCCTGAACCGAAGCAGCAAAGATATCCAGTCAGCAGCACTCAGCGTTTGACCTTGACCACTTCCGTCCTAGAACCGGCCTAAGTTATCTATTCTACAAGAAAGAGGGAACTCGCCTGAAGAATGATCAAGGAGACTACGTACATATCCAGGAAGAACTAGCTATAATCTGGACAAACCATGCTTCGTCCCTACGCATAATAGACCGAGTATACTTGAATAACATTAATATTTCTGGACACTGCTTTGTATATTTTACTTTATATTTTTTGTTGTCTTCATTTTCGATTTGCGTAACAACCTATAACATGTACTAACTTGCTTGTATGTTTTAATTTTTTCCCGAAAGGAGTGCAAGTTCAAGCAAAGTTAAACAAGTGACTATTGGCGTTGCCCCTTCGCTAAGGACAGCCTCTAGGTAATGCATTAACCTTTTTTATTAATACTTTGAATTAATACGTACGTGTGCATGCGATGTGTGTTAATTATTTTTCAGCAGATTGTTGTGATAATATAGTCGATGTTTTCGACTATTCTTAGTATGTAGTAAGTTACGAGAAAAACTATTGCTTACATCTCGTTTTAAGAAACAATGCAAATAATGTAATCATAAAAACGTTGTTACACTAACGTTTATCACTAGTTAAGATTATTAATATAGACTTAGAAAGAAGCCTTCTAATATCTTCCGGTATGAATCAATAAATGCGCGTCAACGAAATGTAAGATCCTATCTTGACATACAACTCATTCCATAGGCCGTTCTTGATTTAGTCACAAATTACAATTCATAACCACAAGAAAGGCATCTATTGTATCAGCTATTAACATAATATATAGCATCTGCATCAACCTTTTGTTTTCTTCTATTACTATGTTTTAACTATTTCTCGTGTATTTTGGACATCAAAATATTGTTCCTTTGGGTGCGCATGTTTAGATATGAAGTTGTTTTAGATTGGAATCGTAATTGTTTCTTTTTTAAATCTTAAACCTTTCACAAGGTGCTCTAAGTTTACAACGTTTACTAACAATACAAATATTCGACAATTTTTATTATGTGTTAATCTTTGAGTATATCATAGAGTTTTGTTAGCAACCATACTGTGATTTACTGGAGGAGATTTAGGATGAGTTGTTCATATATCTTTAAAAGATAGCATAGAAGAGAGATTTGTCGGTAATTTTTTTTAAATTATGAGCTAATTATTTATGAGTCCTCCTGGTTTTGCCGGTAAAGGAGTACTCAATTATTATCGTATATCAGTCATATCGTATGGCTCGTTTAGTTTTGTGCCTAAGTAGTGATTTTTACTTTGTTTTTTTTTTGTGGAAGCTGGAGCCAAGTCTACCAATTTTTATACTACTCTCGAGATAAACGCTTGTAGAGGCATCTGCGTATCATATGTTGTTCAGTCGTTCGCCATTTATAATGGTTCCTTCGTTAATACCTCACAAGAGTAGGAGTAACTGCTCTGAATATATATTGAATAGTAATGTGGACGGCGTATAACCTTATAGTTATCTCCTTATTTTTATATCTTCTGTTAGTCGATTTTCTACCCAATTAGCCCGTTCAAACGCCATGCACGATATGATAGTTTATTCCAAACGAAATATGGAACCAAATATTTTCAGCCCAGATCCTTAGTTAGTTTGTGGCAACGGTGAATAATGGATGTCAGTATGTTTGTTACGATGTGTTTGTATCTAAAATGCCGAAAACGACAAAGCAGAAGGTACTGGGACAATGTGATGTTATAAAAACTGATAAAAATGTCTATGTCCACTTGATCCATCATGTACCTACTCCACTACGTCGAGAGACAATGTAATTACGCTTTTTTACTATTCCACTTGTTCGACAAAATTCGAATCATATAAAGGTGCGTATCTAGATACAATTGCCACTAACGTTTGATTCAAATTTTGTTTCCTACGGCATATGGTTTGTATTGACCAAAAATCGGTAAAATTTCTGAGTGCGATATACGATCGAACCGTCTGAACACGCTCATTGGCCTTTTCATCATTTTATTTGTGCTCATGCGTCATTATCAGGTAGTGAAAATAGGTTGACCTAATTAGAATAATCATTAATTAAAATAAAAAATTATAGACATTATTTATATAGAAATTAAGGAGTGATGCCTAACCTCTCAATCAGCTCACTTCATTTTCCTTGTTGCGACTTCCTTCCATAACATTTGAGCCACCTTTTTAATTGAGTACAATTATGGGCTTCAACGGAAATATAAATAAGTGAAGCACCATCAACAATTTTCTCGAAAGGCTGATTAAATTGTGAAGATAATAATGTATGAAGTAAAACAATTTAAAAAAAAAAATTGTTAAAATCCTTTATAAAAGGTATATAAAATTGCCTCAAACGGGCTATCACAAACACATTGCAAAACGTTTTCGGATTAAACAATCCATCATCAGTGCAAACGGTTGTACATGCTAGTAGCCACCAAAATATATGGGTAAAAACCCTTTAAATGTTATAAATTTGAAATTGTTTTACATTATTAGTGTTTCTAATTTGTGATGGTTAAGTTACCGTTGGATAGGTAACATGGCGGCGTATGACTCTACATGAGTAAAATGGTCCTGAGACGAAGTGCCTACGAGGACCTGTTGATAACAACTCGTTGTTATCAACCTCGAGTTATCGACCTCGAGTTGTTATCAACAGGTCCTCGTAGGTACTTCCTCTCAGGACCATTTTACTCATGTAGAGTCATACGCCGCCATGTTACCTATCCAACGGTAACTTAACCATCACAAATTAGAAACACTAATAATGTAAAACAATTTCAAATTTATAACATTTAAAGGGTTTTTACCCATATATTTTGGTGGCTACTAGCATGTACAACCGTTTGCACTGATGATGGATTGTTTAATCCGAAAACGTTTTGCAATGTGTTTGTGATAGCCCGTTTGAGGCAATTTTATATACCTTTTATAAAGGATTTTAACAAATTTTTTTGTGATATATGGTATACAGCCAGCTACAGGAACTTAGTTTCCTCGTGAATTTTATAAAACAATTTAATTGCAGCTCTTTCAATATGGCGGCTGCGCTTGCGCTGGTCACATGATAAATAGGCATATTTAAAATTATGTGCCACTGAGCAATTCGACATTTTTATCGTTTTAACAAAAAAATTGATAGAAAAATATCGGATGTCAATTGAAATCTCAACAAAAAGTAACTTTTTGGATTTTCATGAATATCATACTGAAGGGATTCAATAGCTGTTTATCTAGCAACCATCACCCTCCAACTTTCTGCCGAAGTTACCAGTGTCTCCGAATTTTTTATTTGACTATACTAAACTTTTTTTTAAACATACTTGTAATTATATTACTCATTACAGTTATACTTGAACAAAACGGTTCCAAACGTAGTATACAAGCTTAGTTTTATATATAAATGAAAAATTGTATTTACGTCAAATTATAATGACATTTTCTGTTCATAGGACCCGGACACCTTCAGGATCCAACACGCCCGTACATCCGGATCAACAAACAGCAGTGTCAAAGTTACTAAAACGTTCCACGGGTGGCACAGAAACTCCCACTGGCCAAACTAGAAAGAAAAAGTCTTCTCTTTCCGATCGGGAGCCTTTTAGGTTATAATTTAGTCTCTTAACTATTCCAAAAAAAAAAACTCACACTGACTGACATGTTATGTTAAGAAACTTAAAATGTTCATATTTTTGTATAAATGTAAAATATTTACTGGGATTTTTGTTTGGCAAATGAAATTATTGATTTGTCGAACAAAAGACATGGTTGGATTTTTTGGTATATACAATTAACAGCACTCTATACTAAACTACTTAGTATATTAAGCCAAAAAACACGAAGTTATTTATTGTTTGTGTAATTAAAATGAAGATATTCAAATTTATTAAGTTGCCATATCTGTAAGAAAAAATTTGGAGTGATTAGGTATGTTTTTTATATTGATTTGTGATTTGGAATATCCGTTAGAATTGTACGGAGGTTTAATCTGTATATTGGCAAAAGGGACCATTTTTTTTTAAATTTCGTTATTAAGGTTATTTACTAATTCTTCTAACCTGCTTTACTGTTTTATTTTTATTAATACCCTTAAAGCCAAACACTGCATACTACTTTCTTTTTTAAACACATGAGATGAAGAGAGTGTGATTACCAGTAATTGCTTGTTTACCTCTTAAAATCGCCAGTTTAAGGGGCGAACAACATGTAACTTATTTATATGTAATGCTTTTGTATTATTTAACTATAATTGTTATTTAATAAAAACTAAATTTTATTATTACATGAGTTTTTTTTTACGTCAAAGAGAAGACAATAAAAGAAAACATTAAAGACATGTGGGGAAAAATTAAAAATACTGTCCTGGAGGCAGCAAACCAAAATATACAGAAAGAAAACCGTAAACAAAGAAAACCATGGATGACAAACGAAATATTACAAATTATGGAGAGGAGACGGATGGTAAAAAACAAAAACCTAACAAGATACAAAGAGCTTAACAGGGAAATTGAGAGAAAGATAAATGTAGCTAAGGAAGAGTGGATGAAAGAAAAATGTAAAGAGGTAGAAGATCTGCAAAGGAAGCATAAAGATAGAGAATTACACAGAAAGGTGAAAGAAGTCGCTGGGATATGGAAACCCAAACATTTATCGATTGTAACAAACACGAAAAACCAAATGGAATTAGACCCTGAAAAACAGAAGGAAATATGGAAACAATATCTTAAAGATTTGTTTGGTGATCGGAGAGCAGAAGGGCCCCCACAAATAGATACCGATGGAAAACTAAGTATTCTAACCGAAGAAGTTATGCGGGCAATAAAAGACGCAAAGAACAACAAGGCACCCGGCGAAGATCTAACAACAGCCGAACATTTTAAACACCTGAGTGATGATGCTGTCGGGAAATTAACCTACCTCTTTAACATTATATATGAACATGGCCTCACCGCATGACTGGCTAACATCCACATATGTAGCTCTTCCTAAAAAACAAAAAGCAAGGAAATGTGAAGACCATCGAACTGTATCCCTAATGAGTCATGCTGCTAAGATTTTTATGCAAGTAATTTATAACCGCATTCACAATAAGTGTGAAGAATACCTGAGTCGTTCTCAATATGGTTTTAGGAAAGGTACAGGCACCAGAGAAGCAATAATGGGATTGACACTAATGGCAGAAAGGTATCTCGAGGTTCAAAAACAGCTGTATGTGTGCTTTGTCGATTATAGAAAGGCCTTCGACCGCATTAGACACAAAAATTGATTGAGGTGCTAAAAGAAGTAGGGCTGGACGGACACGACATAGCTATAATAAGCAATACATACTGGAACCACACAGGATGTGTTCGAACAGACAACGGAAATACCAATTATGTAAACATAGAACGAGGAGTGCGTCAAGGGTGCATTCTGTCCCCTCTTCTATTTAATGTCTATGCCGAAAATATCATCAGAGCTTCTCTTGAAGATCGCCCTGAAGGTGCCAGAGTCAATGGAATCATCATTAACAATGTAAGATATGCCGATGACACCGTAGTATTAGCAGAAACAGAAGACCAACTAAAAATATTGATGAACATACTATCAGAAGAAAGTCACAGACTAGGTTTGGATATTAATCTTTCCAAAACCAAAATCATGGTATTCCACAAGAACCCCCATGAACAAATTACACCCAACATACAAATCAATGGTATCACCCTTCAGAGCTCCCAAAGCTTCATATACCTGGGCAGAGAGCTAAACAGTCAGCTAGACCACTCAAAAGAAATTAGAAGACGTATTGAAATAGCAAGATCTGGCTTCATGAACATGCGTAAAATGCTCTGTAACCCCAAGCTATCAATCACAATAAGGTTAAGAACACTAAAGTGTTATGTGTGGTCTCTACTACTGTATGGCTGTGAGACCTGGACATTAAAACAGTATGACGTCAACAAACTGAATTCATTCGAAATGTGGATGTACCGCCGAATGCTAAGAATAAACTGGACCAGCAAAACTACAAATGAAGAGGTACTGGAAATAATGAACACACGACCTCATCTGGTTAATACAATCAAAATTAGAAAGACGTCATATCTAGGACACTTAATGCGCCATAAGGAATTTGAGCAGCTCAAGGTAATATTAGAAGGCAAAATCGAGGGTAAAAGGGGTATAGGAAGAAAGAAGAAATCCTGGCTCCGAAACATCAGAGATTGGACTCACACAACAGGAAATGACTTAATCCATCAAGTCCAGAACAGAGAGAAATTTGCCATATTGATCGCCAACCTCAATAGAGAAGGCACTTAGGAGGAGGAAGATTCCTCAACTCAGCAGATGTAGGTAGCGACCACAGCCTAGTATTATGTAAAAAAAAGAATAATACAGCGGCGCCAACACAAACAAAGTCGAAGGACTAAGTACGGAATACTTTACAGGAAAAGAATATCAGAGATCGCTGGGAATGAAATAATAGAAAATGATAACATCGAGGAAAGCTGGGAAAAACTCAAAAATGACATAATTATCGCAGCAACAGAATCACTTGGAAAGAGGAAAGTAACGAATACTAACATATCAAAAAAGAAAACACCATGGTTTAGTGAGGAGGTAAGACAAAATGTGAAGAAAAGAAGTAAACCTTTTTACAATACAGGACATAACAAACACAACAGGCATACAACCACTATAAACGAATCAGAAATGAAACGAATACTTTAGTTAAATAAGCAAAAAAGAAACACTGCCAGAGTTTCTCAAAACAGATGGAACACGACTTATACGGAACACAAAAAGAAATATGGAGAATGATCAGAGGACATAGAAAAGAAATGAACGAACTAATTAAAACTAAATACATTCAGAAGAAAACATCACCAAGACCAGAGGTGACGACAAACGAAGAAATAAATATTGAGGAGGAAGAGGTAAAGGAAGCATTAAGGAAATTAAAATTATCGTCAGGAGAGGACAGAATACCGAACGAACTCCAGAAATAGAGGATCAGGTCTAACCAAACAACTATTGAAACTAATCCAAAAAAGAATAGAACAAAACAAAATTCCTCAAGAATGGAGATCAAGCTTTCTAATACCTCTCTTCAAAAGAGATACAAATCGAACCCGGAAAATTACAGAGGAATTTATTTATTAAACACAACACTAAAATTGACTACCAAAGTGATAACAAATAAATTGAATGAAATGATAACACTAGCAGAAGAACAACAAGGTTTTAGATCGGAAAAAATGATGCACCGACGCTATATTTATAATGAGGCAAGTGCAAGAGAAATCATTAGAATACAACAAATCGGCATATCTATGTTTCGTGGAACTTACAAAGGCATTTGACCGGGTCAAATTAAAAGACGTAATCCACTTACTGTACGCAAGAGAGATACCTCTAGGAATAATCAAAACGATCCAAAATATCTACCAAAACAAGTCAATAAAAGTAAAAGTACAAGAAGAACTAACCGACCCTATTGAAGCTGGGAATGGAGTAAGACATGGAGATTTATTCAGTCCTGTATTGTTCAACCTGATTATGGATGAAATAATAAAAAAAGGATACCAAATGGGAGAAAAACAACTTAAAATAATATGCTATGCAGACGACGCAATACTACTCTCTCAAAGTGAAGATGATTTACAACGTATTCACCAATTTAATATAACCGCCAGAATTTATCATGTTAATTTTCCCAAAAAAGACAAAATGCATTGTTTCAACAGAAAATTTACTAAGATGTAAAATTGAAGCTGGAAGGTCAGATAATAGAACAAGTCATGGAGTTTAAATATCTAGGCATCACATTGTCTAGCTACGGAAAGCTCGAAACCGAAGTGGAAGATCAAGTGAATAAACAGAGCCGCAGGCTGCCTAGATGAAACAATATGGAGAATATGACATACGTGGCAGAAACAAGACCTGATACAAAGAGAACAAAAAAGATGTTAGAAACAGCAGAGATGAAAACTTCTTCCTCTTCTTAGGGTGCCTGTCCGTTCCGAACGTTGGCGATCATTCTGGCTATGATGTTTTTGTTGGTTGCTATACGAAATAGCTGTGTTGAGGTCTTTCTATACCATGCTCTCACGTTAGCAAGCCAGGATATTCTTCTTCGTCCTGGGGCTCTTTTTCCTTTAATTTTACCCTGCAAAATGCATTGGAGTAGCTCGTATTTGCCTTGATTTCTCATAATATGTCCCAAGTACTCCAGCTTACGGCTCTTCACCGCGGTGAAGACAACTTACAATTTTAACCAAATCCGCGGTTGTGTTCATCCTCCGCAGTACTTCTTCATTGGTGACTTTGTCTGTCCATGGTATCTTCAGGATTCTTCTGTATAACCATGAAAACACGTAGAACAATTGATGGTAATACACTATGGGACAGAGCTAGAAGTACATATATACGACGTATATGCAAGGTGGAGAACATCAAGAACTGGGTAAGAAATAGAAGAGTAGAATGGAATCATGTAAGCCGAATGACAACAAATAGAGTAGTAAAGACAAGAGACGGTTCCCCAATAGGAAGACCACGAAAACGATGGAACGACAACTTACTGGCAGCACATTGAAAAAAGGCAGAGTCATGTCTATATAAAAAGAAGA